TAAAAGAGAAACATAAGCAAAGTTAAGTGTTGCTGAGATGAGAATGCTTACGTGGATAAGTAGATCACACTTAGAGACAGTGCGAAATGAATATATCTATGATAGCGTTGGTGCAGCTCCAGTGGCGGACAAGATTAGAGAGAGTCATCTGAGAGAGTCATCTTAAATATCTTAAATAGTTTGGTCACATTAAATGTCGATCATCTGATGATCTGGTTAGGACGGTAGATGTTTTAAATTTGACTTTTGTTAAGAAATGTAGAGGTAAAACTAAAAAGGCTTAAAAATATTGCTTAAAAAATGATATTAATCTATTAGACTTAAATTAAAATATGACACTCAATAGGACGTAATGAAAAAAAATGATTCAAGTAGTCGACTCAACTTAGTTGGATAAAGGCTTATTGTTGTTGTTGTCTTATTTAAAATTCATCTGACTTCTAAAATATAACTTGAAATCACTTAAATATGATAATGTTGGGTGAGAATTTTTTAAGTGCGCGGCTTAATTACTACAAAAAAGGATATTAGAAAGAAAAAATTATGGCCTTGTTTAGGTCTGTTTCATCTGCTTTGCTTTTCAATGGTTAGCACACCAAGCACTGATTTGGAAAAACAAAAGAAAATTTAGCAAAATATATATATATATTTGACAAAAATTCCATATGCACCTCCGCCACGACCTTACAACCATAGCAACGCACATGTCGTGCATTTTGTCCATTGGAGTAGTAGTGTTTTTATTTTATACAAAACAACACAACACAAAACACTTACCACTTTATATGCATTAGTTTGTGTCTCCAGCTAAAGCAAAAGAATAAATAAAAAATAGAAGAAACAAAGCATTGGAGTTTATTGCTAGAGAGATGATACAAGTGCAACTGCGTAAATCTAGTGTTGTGTCATCAACAATACACAAACACACACCAATAAGAGTTGTGTTAGTAAGTTATCTTATGTTAAGCTTTTGGTTTGATCGTTCTTCTACAATTATTCTTAACATACTTACATTCTAAACACCCCCCAACCATGCACCTTTTCATGACACTAAAACCACGATCTTCTCTCTAAAAATCTAAACACTTCCTCTCATATGCATGCTCAAACACGGTTTGCTACAATAACGTTGACACCCAAGGGGAGAGGATCATCTCTTTCCAAATCTATCGTCCACCTTCGTTTCCTATTTCTATTCCTTTCCTCTTTTTATTTATTACCTATTTATCTTTCTTTTCTATTTCTATTTCTTTATCTTCTATTCCTTGCCTTTTTCAATTCCCTTTTAAATCTATTGCCTTCCTATTCTATTTCCTTCCTACTCTAACTACTAGTACATATAAATATTTTGTTTATTGTTTTAGGGTTCGGTTTTTTTATCTTCCAGATTTCAGATTTCTGTCAGAACATCCGTCAGCATCTGTTTTCCCCTTCGAAGGTTGTATCCAACCATGAGTGGTGCTCTAGTTGTATCTCGTCTGACATTGCGACCTTCTCCAGAGATTCGAGTTGTGCTCTGGCTATAGCTCGATCACGCAGGAATATTTATCTCATTTAATTCCTTTGAAACCCCTTTCAGCCAACCGCTTTGCTATCGAAACCACCAGACAACTCTCCCTTAGCTGTCCCGCAGCCCACCACCCTTCCCATTGCTTTGCTACAGTCACCTGGAAAACACCCTCCTCACTGTTTTCCTGCAACCACCTACCACTTAGCCCCCTCCCATCTTGTTGTCAACCCTCGTCGTCGCCTTCCAGCACCCAACCAGTCCCTTTCCTGTCACCTAATTGATGCCCCGACCCATACAACCCCCACACCGTAGTTCACATACCCCCAACCTTCTCACTACAGCTGACCAACATTCCTTTCCCTTTACGGTCACACCCACAGCCAACTCACAACATCTTTCACTAGTCACCGCTCTTGGGATCCGCTTTAATTGAGTTTATTAGTGTTGTGTGTTTGTTGTTGTATTTTCTTTCATTATCATGTTGTAACCTGTTATTTGCTTCGAATAAAAATCGATCTTTTTTTGTTGTGGTTTTGGTTAACTCAGGTATCATTTAGTATCAAAATTAGCCCAACCCTAGTCATATCCTAGAGTTTCCTAGCATCTGCCCTTACCCAAGCCACCTCAACCAAAATTTTTTTTCCCCTACCAACCACCAAACCATAGCCAAATTTGAACTAAATATAAATTCTCTTTGCTGATTTCCAAAATCAGCAACCCCAAATTAAATTTTCTACACCCTCTTTCATCTCCCACTCCAAACTCTAGCCATGTCACCAAGAAGATACACACACGAGCATATCAGGAAAGAGATACAGTAGGAGAACTGTCGACTTCAGTGGAGGCTTTGCGGATATTGAGGATTAAACACGCGGAAGGCTATCCTTTGATATTGCAGATATCAAAGGGGCGCAAGAGACAAAGGGTCTGAATCCATCTCATAGGGAGGATTTTAGGGATGCAGAACAATGGTCATGACGCTTGGAATCTAGTATCAAAGGAGTTCAAGAGAAGAGCCAACATATGAAGAATAGAAGAATCTAAAGACGAATTGGCAGATCCAGCGTCGGTTCCTAACAACTTACTATAGATAGAAAATTCAGACTCTAGCTTCAAAAGTGGAGAGACCACATCACCGGGTGTCCGCCGTGTCTTACAGGCAGCACTCAATCTCAGGGTCTTACAGCCATACTACAATCAGAAGAACATCCAAGCTTACCCCATCAGAGGAATAGGTTAATTAGAGTGGATAACAGGTGGAACCAATTCGCATCCCTAAATCTGCCTCAGACAAAAGGTGTTGCAAGTGTCACTGATTTGGGCATGTTAAATCAGACTACACAACCAGGGGTGATCTATTTCACTGAGCAGGGTTTTCTTGAAAATTTGGGTGATGACGTAGTAGGCACTTAAGATGATGAGGAAACGAAAGTGGACCGGCGTCCAATTGAGGACAAGATCACAAAATTCCAGCTAAGCATGTCGGAGAGACTTCAACCGACTTCACAGTGAGTGTCCAAGGCAGTCTTGAGTTCGAGGAACTGATACCAAAGGTATGTTAACCCAAAATAACAGAAATTCAAACCATTCAGATCAGTAGACTCATTCCTGAGTTTTCCCTATTGAAAGAAGTCCAGCACTTCAGAAATGAGGCTCATTTATGTCATGGCTGGAAGATTAGATGAAGTTATTCAGATGTTAGATACAATTAAGCATGATACCCGTCATCAGATATCCAGACATAGAGATGAAACCCAGCCTTGAAATTTGTCTTAGAAGCTTGATGAGGAAGGAATTACTTCAATAGGATCCATGAGAGTGGTGCAGCCTAATATAGATTTCATCCAGGAGTTGATTTCTCCCCATCTACTTGTTTATCAGCTATATTCTGCTGCGTACAAGAAGTAGAAGTAAGTTTCAAGCTTGAGGGCCCGAGCATTAGATTATGGGAGCCAACATCTATATGCAGCTCCAGCTCAGGATATGCCAAAAAAGGATTTATATTTATTCTATCAATATGTGTTGTGGAATGAAAACTCCTACAAGATCAACTTGTTGGGAGACTACAATGTTTTCGCAACGTTCAATGTCGCGAACCTAACTTCATACAATGAGGAGAAGCTTCGACAAATGAAGTTGAAGCTTCCCAACCTAGGGAGATTGACGCAGGAGCTTACCAGTACGTGGTACTATAGCCTCCACAGTACCGTGGGCGCCCAAAGGGAGAGTATCCTACTTCTCTGAATCTCTCGCCCCCTTCCTCTTCTATTCCTTGTCTTTTTCTTCCCTTCCTAATTGTATTTCATTTCTATTATAATAGCTTCATATTCGAACTACTAGTATCTATTATAAATATGTTGTATGTTGTCTTTAGGTTCTGTTTTTTGTTCTTCCAAATTTCATACTTTTGTCAAGTCAGTCGTTGGTGTCTGTTTTCCCCTTCGAGTGTTGTATCTAACTACAAGTGGTGTTTTCGTTGTAGCTTGTCTGAAGTGGTGACCTTCTCCAATGTTTATAGAGGTGCACCAGCTATAAATCAATCCAACAGAGATATTTATCCCATTCAACTCCTCTGAAACCACTTTCCAGCCATCTCCTCACTGTCGCAGCCCACGGACAACCCTCCCATAGTTGTCTCATAGCCCACCACCCTTCCATTCTTTGACGTCATCACCATATTCGTTCCAGCAACCCTGAAAACACCATCCTCCTTGTTTTCCTGCAACTGCCTACCACCTATCTCCTTCTACCTTGCGGCCATCCCTTGTCGTCGCTTTCCAGCACCCAACCAACCCCTTTCCTACCACCTCTCCCAGCCTCACGGAATCCCTTCCCTCGCATCCTAGCAGTTGTTCTAGCCTTGTCGAACCAGCTCCCTACCACCTAATCACTGCCCCAGCCCATACAACCCACACACACTGCAGTTCACATCCCCCCAACCTTATCCCTGCAACCAACTAACACTCCCCTTTCCTTCCCAGTTGCACCCACCAACTCACAAACTCTTTAACCGATCACCACTCTTGGGATCTGCTTTAATTGAGTTTGTTAGTGTTGTGTGGTTTTTGTTGTATTTCCTTTTGATTGCAATCTTGTAACCGCTTATTTGCTTTACATAAAAACTTCTCTTTTTCCGTTGTGATTTGAGTTAACTCTGGTATCATGCCCTCTCTCCTCCCTCCATCCTCCAAATGCCACAATCAATTGATATTTTCAGGATGACACTTAAAATGGACGGCCTATAAAGCAAAATAAAGATACCCAAAGATGCATTTAAAGTGACTTTCAAAAATCTGGTTGCACTATTTATTAGATGTAAATTACATTTGTGGTATTCAAGGTCTAGAGAGTGTGCATATAGCAAGCTTGCTTGGCGAGCAAATCCTGGAAGTATTGTAGGGCAATAAAAATAAAAAGCACAATCATTTCTTCACAAAATTCCTAAACAAGTATGAGAAACCTTCTTTGAAAAATTATATTAGGTGCATACCTTTTGAATCTTTAGCGGGGCAGGAGAGGTATCCTATCGTCAAGTACCGCATGATGGCTAGCCTGAAAACATAAGTTACGGATGAGTAGGTTCAAGTGCAACAAAACTTCCAAAGAGTAATGGGGAAATGCTCCTTACAGTCTCAGCTGCACCGGTAGTCATGTTTATTAAGGATGAATACTTTGCCCTACAGATAAGTTGAAAACGAAATGATGATTAAATTCGTTTACAAAAACGAATTTAAGTTTCTAAATGACCATAAAAACAGTCGATCAAATGTTTACATGCTTAATGTCGTTTCAATGCTACAAGAATGGGAGTAATTGAAATAAAGAAAAGTGTAATAATGCTTCTGCAAAATTAACTAGCTTAATATTGTATGTTGTGATCATGGCAAGGCTGTACTATGGCGAATGAGCACCACCACCCAAAAGCCTTAACAAGATTAATCCTAAAGATATAAGCTCAAAAGGGTTAAACTTGGATGAGGTGCTCAAGGTCATCATGAGCCCACCGAGCATTTAACCCCACTGTAGCTACTAGCGAGAGACTTCAGTATAAAATATGTGACTTGAATTTTTCTAAAACAAAAAAATTTATTATCAAGCATAGAAAAAAAGTACAACATAATGCAATTGCTGTTAAATTAACAAAAGTAAAAAAAAAAAAAAAAAAAAAAAAAAAAAAAAAAAAAATCTATGAGCAAAACTGACAAAAAAACAAAGATGGCTGAAGGAGAAAATCACAATGGTCCTCACTAAAAAAGTCTTACATAATATCTAGAATGTTTTGGAGAGTGATGATATGGTTTCTTGCAATTTTTTCACTCCTAGAATGTAGAAATTCAAACACTTTATCCATTGGTTCTTGAATGCTAGAAATGCCATTATCAGAGCGAATAGATAAAGAATCAGCGCCACCAATATCCCCAATGACAAAAGATCAGAAGCAAAAATGTTTGTTGAATCTTGGTCAATAACCTTATGAGTCGGTCGTTGCCAATCACCAGCCCAAGATTAACTTCTAGGTAATGCATTGAATTTAAAGATAATTAATTTTTTTATGAACAAACTAGATTAGACATAACTGACGCTTATATTTTAGCTTATAGTATGTATCAATTTATAGATGTATATATATATATTCATATATATATATATATATATATAGATAAATATATATATGGGTAGGATACCTTTTTTTGAGTCCTCTCATATAACCTCTATGTATCTGTTTAATTTCTATAAAATTAGCCCTTGGGTTCGACACCTTTTTTTTAGCTTATAATTTTTTTATATAGGGTTCGACCGAAGGAAGAAGTCTCCACCTCTGCCATCGTTTCGTTTTCGGCGATCGTCGACAACAACGTGAGCTTCTGCGTCGAGCGACGACCTCGTCGAGCTGCAATCCGCGGCTTCTACGTCAGCGTCCAGGTCTGCGCCAGTGCTTCTCTAGCCCGATCTTCTGCTTTGTTTCTGTGCCTTTCTCTCCAGCTCGACGAAAATTTCTCGCTGCAGCTGACAGTGGTTGTTCTAATGGCACTTCCATCTTCATTTACTGAACCGACAAAGACTTCCTTTGCCCACGTGGTGGGAAACCCTCAGGTGGAGTCCGCGGTGGTATTCCTCTCAAACTATAAAGAATGTCGCGATGGCGCAGATGATTGTCCTTTTGTTAAAAAAGGATGTAGGAAAGGTGGGAAAACAACAATTCTTTTCTCTGACTCAGAAATTTCTACCATGATAGAAAAATTCAATTTTGCTCTCATTGGAAAATTTCAGTGGGGATACTCACCTATGAAGGTTATCAGAAAGAGCATAGATGATCTTAAGCCAGTAGGCAAGTGAAAAATGGGACTTATGGATGGGAGACATGTGTTGATCCAACTAACAATGGCTGAAGACTACACCAGAATTTTCTCCAAGAAATATCTTAATATCGCAGGAAAAACTATGAAGTTACTCAAGTGGTCTCCTGATTTCGACCCAAATCATGGAACTCCCACTGTACCGGTATGGTTTAGTTTACCTGGTCTCAAGCTGCATTTTTTTCACTATCAGGTTTTCTACTCTATTGGGGTCATCCTAGGGGATCCTTTGAAGCTAGATCTGTCTACTTTCAATCTAATCGGACCCTCGGTGGCCAAAATACTTATGAAAATGGATATTACTTTATTGGATGTTACTGAAGTCTGGTTGGCCACAACCCACAATGAATATTGGCAATAAATCATCTTGGAACACAGACCTCCATATTGTACTTACTGTAAGATGTTTGGTCATATCCTTGATAAATCTTGATAAATGCCCTTGATAAATGCTACAAGCTTCATCCTAATTTGAAAACTAAGGTTCAAGTGAATAAGGATGGGTCTAACCCTACTGCTCTAGACATTTTAGTTCCACCTGGGGAAGATACTACCAGACAGATGGTGTCTGTTGCCCCTAAGGACCCCCCTCAAGGCACTGTTGTTACTGTTACTGTGAGGGATGTGATGTTGACACCGTCAAACCCCATAGAAAACAATACTGATGGACTATTACCTACAAATGAAAATGTTCAGATTGATAATTATGAGAGCCTCGCAGCTCCACTTCTTCAGGAAGTATCCGGTGTAGAGGCAACTCAAACTTCACATATGCTAGAACCCATTGCGGGTACTATGTTTGATATTCATTCTGCTTCAGCTCTACCACCCCATCAGACTGATTCTTCAAAGAGGAATGACAGGTCTATTCTAGGAGGAAGAAGAATGGAGGCAGACTCCAGCCCGAGAACATATTGGATGATACATTGGTTACTTCTGGCAATGACAATCATCTTACCAGCTTACTAGCTTGCTCCTTTCCTAGAACTAGAGGCAGAGGCAAGACCAAATTAGGTCGCTCTCTAGCCACCTTATATTATATATTTTGACACAGTTAGGTTTTTTATTTATCTAATGTATTTTTCTGTTTTTTCTAATTTTAGAACCATTTGTGGTTTTTTTGTTGGTAGGGAGTCATGTTTGGGCTCTCCCACACTTTGTATTTGTATCTTTCTTTCTACTTAATATATTAGCCTCTTTGAGCTTTCAAAAAAATATATCGCAAGATCAATTCTCCGGCGTCGTCCCTCCATCCTCTCCGTCATCGTCAGGTCGCGGCTTCGAAGTTGACTGCAGCTCGCGTCTCGTGGTCTCGGTTCGAAGCCGACAGATCGTATCTCGTCGTCTCTCCGTAAAGCATCCCTTCGTCCTCTCCGTCATCGTCAGCTCGCAGATTCAAAGTTGACTGCAGCTCGTGTCTTCTCGTCTCTGTTCAAAGCCGACAGATCGCATCTCGTCATCCCTATTCGAAGCCGACATATCGCATCGCGTCTTCCTCCTCACAGAAGACGGGAAGGAGTTGCGTGCTCGTTTCCTCTTTCGTCTTTGTTCTCGACTAAGCTCGACTGCACTGAGTTTTGGTCTGTTCGGTTCCTGACCGTCTTCGCTCGTCATTCCTGCCCTTTGATCGACTTGGCAGGGCTTCTAAGCTGTGATGGAGCTTCCCTCTTCTTCAGTTGAACCTAGCAAAGCCTCCTTTGCCCATGTGGTGGGTAATCCTCAGGTGGAGACGGCGGTTGTCTTCCCCTCAAGTTATAAAAAATATTGTGATGGTACAGGTGACTTCCCATTTATTAAGAATGCAAGCAGAAAAAGTGGGAAAGCAGCACTCTTTTTATCGAAGTTAGAAATTTCAACCCTGACTAACAAATTCAAGTTTGCTCTTATTGGAAAATTTCAGTGGGGGCACCCACCTATTGAAGTTATCAGGAAAAGTTTTGATGATCTCAAATTAGCAGGAAAGTGGAAAGTGAGGCTCATGGATGGGAGACAAGTATTGATTCAATTAACTGTGGCTGAAAACTACATCGGATTTTCTCCAAAAAATATCTCAACATTGTCGGTAAATCAATGAAGCTATTCAAGTGGTCTCCTGATTTTGATCATAATCATGAACCTCCTACTGTACCGGTATGGTTTAGTTTACCAGGTCTCAAGCTGCACTTTTTTCATCATCAGGTTCTTTACTCTATTGGGGCCATACTTGGGGACCCTATGAAGCTAGATCTACCGACTTTCAACCTAACCAGACCTTATGTGGCCAGAATATTTGTGGAAAGAGATAGTACTTTATCTGATGTTACTGAAGTCTGGTTGGGCACAACTCATAATTGATATTGGCAACAAATTGTCATGGAGCATAGATCGTCTTACTGTTCTCATTGTAAGATGTTTGGGCACACACTCGATAAATGTCATAAGTTTCATCCTAATTTGAAATCTAAAGATCAAGTGAATAAGGATGGATCTAATCTCACTACTCTGGACATATCTGTTCCATCTGGAGAGAAATCTACCACAGGACAGGTTTTGGATATCACTAAATATCAGCCACCAACCATCCCTGCTGAGAAGGTGCAAACAGATCTTTTACCAAACATCGCAGTTCCTGATGAAGAACATCATACTACAGGTACAGATCCAAAAGTGTTTATACCACTCACTGCTATTACAGAAGACTCACTTACATGCCAAGACACACAAGAGTGTTTCTTTGAATCAATCAAAAATCAGCTGGTACAACAAGTGATTACTTCTAATGTTCAACATCCTACACATGTCCGACACACTTTAGACCAATCCACTGATCAGGCGAGTCAATCTTCGCATGAAGAATGACAGGTTTATTCCAGGAAAAAAAAGATGAGTGGAGGCCGACAAGAGCTTGGAAACTTATTGGATGATACTTTGGTCACTACTGGCAATGACACTCATCTTACCAATTTATTAGCTGGCTCCTTTCCTAGAACTAGAGGTAGAGGCAAAGGAAAATTGGGTCTCTCTAGCTACCTGATACTATGTTTTTTGGTGTTTTTTCTTTTTTTCCTTTATGTCTCATGTAATTTTCTGTATTTTCTCTTTTTTGGATCCTTTTGTATGTGATGGTTATCGTGGGGGAAGGGTGTCATGCTTGGGCCCTTCCCCACAATCTATATATATCATTATTATATATATATATATAAATTTAACATGTTATTAGTGCACTCCACGTGCCTGAACGCGCTCCCAACAAACCTGATGAGGGAATCACCACAAGACAGAAGTTGGTGTCTGCCTCTGGGATCCTTTCTCCTGATCATACTACAACGAATAATGTTCGA